CGGCAGTATAAGGCTTGGGGTTAATGTGCATGCGGCTGCATAAGATGGGACTTATATGCATGTTGCTTGTAGAGGAACTATGTGAAGCCACGCAGTGTCATAAGGTGAACTAAGGTGCATGTAGCTATTTCGGGAAAACTGTTTTCAAAACTTATTTCAAATGTAAGGCTCATGTGGCGGTATAAGGAAAGATTGTGATTGAAATTGAGAAATATGAATGTGAAGCGGTACCTAAGTTGTGATTCTTAATTATACGAGGCGGTACCTCAGATTGATTTCTTTATACAGGAAGTGGTACATCGTTGTGATTCTTGCTATTAATTTCATGTTGCAAAGAGTTTTTGGTGGAAATATTTCTTGTTGTTTCATTCTTACTTGTTCTAGCAGTTGACCAGTTGTTTTCCATATATGACCACTTGGGTTTTTTCAGTTGTTTCTTTTACGTGTTCCCATGTTTAGATTCTGGTATCTGTTCAGGTTATTTATATCCTAGTAGGTATCTTGATCTGGCCTCATCACTGCTCTACTGAGGTTATGCTTGATACTTACTGGGTACCATTGTGGTGTACTCATACTATGCTTCTGCACATTCTTTGTGCAGATCCAGGTACGTCTGCTTGTGCCGATCGTTAGAGATTATCTGTAACTGCTACTTGGGAGACTTCAAGATATACCTATAGTTGTTGCATGCCTCGGAGTCACCTTCCCTATTTTACTTCATGTTGTATTTCTTTCAAACAGTGATGTATTAGATATTTTAGAATTATTCTATAGAGATTATGACTCAGTTCCACCGGTTTTGGGTTGTGTATTGTGAGATTCTATTTTCAGAAGGTTTTTATCAATTATTCAATTGTTTTCAGTAACTTTATAATTATATCTGTTTAGTTATTATCAATTGTTAGACTTACCTAGTCGTAGAGACTAGGTGTCATCACGACATCCTATGGAAAGGGATTGAGATCATGACATTTGGTGATTTGGAACATATTAAAAAAAATTATGGGGCTGGAAACCCTGTGTCACGACCCCAAAACCAATCCAGCCGTGATGACGCCTATCATGAAACTAGGCCAGCCGACACAATCCCAAGTCAAACCAATATTTCAAAATAAGGATGTTTTAAGCTATTAATTTAAATAAAATCTCATAACATGAGTCTAAATAACAAGTGCGGAAAGAAAACACAAGCCTGATATCGGTGTGTCACAAGTCATGAGCATCTACTAAGGTCTGAATACAACAAAGACTACCATAGTCTGGAAAATACTAAAATAGTCTAAGGAAGATGAGAGGGAGAAGAGCAAGGTTGCGAACGCCAGGCAGCTACCTTGCTAACTCCGATGGACCTGCCACTAAGTAATCAACACCCGCTAACGGGTTCAAAAATACCTGAATCTGCACACAAGGTGCATGGAGTAATGTGAGTACGCCAACTGAGTAAGTAATAAAAGTAAATAAAGACTGAGCAGTAAGAAAACACATAATCCACGTCATAACAGCACAATAAGTACAGGATATTTCCAAAACAATATATAAATCAAGTCATCTTGTTAAAATTCAATTTCAGTAAAAATCCTTTGAAAAATGTCTTTCTAACAGTTTCAATAGAGATTCAATGAAGTTTAAAATAAAAATGATGAAAGTCGTAAATAGCCCCTCGGCATGACATGTATCATAAATCGCCCCTCGAGCATAACATCAATCAGAACCAGCCCATCGGGCTACCTCACAATCACTCGTAATCAGCCCCTTGGGCACACCATGTATCAAGATCAGCCCCTCGGGCAACATCATATCACTCACTTAGGGTATCCGCGCTCACTGGGGGTGTTCAGACTCCGGAGGGGCTCCTACAGCTCAAGCGCTATAACAAGCCATCTCGTGGCATAATCAATCAGGCCATCGGCCTCACATAACAAGCCAGTAACAACATGTTGTGCCGTGCAGTCCGATCCCATAAATATCCTCACAACACAGGCCCTCAGCCTCACTCAGCCAGAAATCTCTCAAGCCACTCGGTCTAACAGTAAAACAGGGTGCTCAGCCCAAAATATCATTTTATGCGTCAAATCAGAGTAAATAAGATTGAGTTATAAAATCAGTAAAATATAGCATGACTGAGTACAGTTATTAAATCAAAACAGTGAGAAAATAGTAGTAAAAATCCCCTAAGGATCCAATCAACTTGGCACGAGATCCAAATATGGCATCTAGCCCAAAACATAGTAATACTTTCCAAAGCACAATAGTATCAAGTAGTTTTCAATCAAATATGTGACTTAATAGTCGTACGGGACGGACCAAGTCATAATCCCCAACGGTGCATGCCCTCACGCTCGTCATCTAGTGTGTGTGTCACCTCAAAGTAGTGAAACGATGTGAAATCTGGGGCTTCATACCCTCAGGACAAGATTTGCAGTCATTACTTACCTCAAACCGGTCAAAACTCTAACATGCGATGTCTTTGCCTCTCGACTCGGCCTCCATATGCTCCGAATCTAACCAAAATCAGTATATTATCATCAATATACGCTAAAGCATTGAATTCCATATGAAATTTATCAAATTAGACAAAAAATTCCAAATTTGGCTCAAACTCGGCCCCGGGACCCACGTCTCGGAATCTAATAAAAATTATAAACCTGGAAAGCTCATTCACTCACGAGTCCACCCATATCAAATTCATCAAAATCTGACATCAAATGGCCATTCAAATCCCCAAAAGCAACTCTCCAAATTTTCTTCCATTTTTCCCAATTGTCACCCCAAATTCCCAAATTAAATGATAAAAATCAAGACACAATCATGGAATTTAACCAAATTTGAGTGAAGAACACTTACCCCAATCACTCCTCTGAAAATCCTCTCTAAAATCGCCTTCTCCCGAGCTCTCTTTTGAATTTTGGAATTATAAACTCAAACCCTCGTTTTTAAACTTAACATTCTGCCCAGGCATTTCCTTAATCGCGATCGCGGAAACACCCTCGCGATCACGAAGAACAACTTTGCTACCTCAACATATTATTCTACGCGACCGTGTTACTCCACACGTGAATGCAATGCAGTGGCTCCTCTGACTTACGCGATCGCGATTGACCCCACGCGAACGCGAAGGGTAATGTCAGCTTTCCTCTGCCTCCTTATTTCTTCTACGCGAATGCGGCCTGACCCACGCGTTCGCGTTGCGCAACCTGACTGACCTACGCGATCGTGTCCCATTCTCTGTGATCGCGAAGAGTTAACCCAGGTGGATTCCCATTTGCCCTACGTGATTACGAACCTCCTCTCGCGATCGCGATGAAGAACACACTAGCTACAAAACACCAGCAACCAGCAAACTCCTTAAGTCCAAAAATGACCCGTTGAACATCCGAAACACACCCGAGGCCCTCGGGACCTCAACCCAAAAATGACAACACATCCCATAATATCATTCAAACTTAGTAGAGACTTCGAATCACTCAAAACAATATCAAAACACCAAATCAACCTCGGTTCAAGCTTAAGAACATCTAAATTTCAAAATTCCACAAACAACGCTGAAACCTATCAAACCTCGTCCGAATGACTTGAAATTTTGCACACACTTCACAAATGATACTACAAACCTACTCCAACTTCCAGAATTCCATTCCGACCTCGATATCAAAATTTTCACTGCCGACTGAGAAATGCCAAATTTCAATTTCGCCAATTCAAGCCTAATTCTTCCACAAACCTCCAAATCACATTCCGGACGCGCCTCCAAGTCCAAAATCACCTAACGGAGCTAACCAAATTATAAAAATCCAAATCCGAGATCGAATACTAAAAAGTCAAAACTTGGTCAAACCTTTCAAATTTAAAACTTCAAGCTGAGAATCGTTCTTCCATAACTGCTCCGATTAACCTGAAAACCAAAACCGGCGATTTACGTAAGTCATAATACATCATACGGGGTTAATCATGCCTGAAAATTGGAGAGCAAAGTGCAAATGCTTTAAACGACCGGTCGGGTCGTTACACCATGCGGGGTTAGTTTGAGAATATGCAATATGGGGTTAAAATGTTATAGAAGTGCTGAAGGTGCATTCATAGAAAAGATGGTATTCTATGCAAAATATAAGAACTAATACATACGGGATGTAGCATTAATTAATTGTGGGATTGTCTATTCTAATGCTATAGATCAGAACATGAATTTACTGTCTCATTTTGGAAAATGAATTTCATAAGATACATCAACCTCCCTAAGTTGTTCATCTTCTTTGTTTTATCTTTCTTTCGTTTTGCTTTGTTTTGAAATAGCGTGGAAGAGAATAACAAATGGATTGTATCAATTTAGACTTTCATTAATCAACTGTCTGATAAATTAAGTGTCCGTTCTTCTTAATCGTCAAAGGTCATCTTGATCATGTAACAAAGGACCAATGTGCATAAATAGCTAGTACTACATTAGTCCTTTGATCAACATGGCCTTTGACGATTAAGCAGCATCCATGATTCTTAAATCGAAGATTAACTACTGTTCTTAATTCTTCTGCCTTCACTTTTAAGTGGCTACCAGTCTAAAATCAGATGTTGGCGTTTGGTTTGGCAGTAGGGAATCCGTTTTTGGTTCGAATTATACACTATTAGCTTATAAAATAAGACTTCAAATTTATATATTTTCCTCCTATGGCTATATATATCTGCCAAGTACCTTTATATCCTTCATACTGAGCTAGAAAAAAGAGATGTAGATATTTTCATCAATACCTTTCCAATTCATATCAACTTTTTGGTGTCATAAATTGCAGTGTCTGGGCTAAAGTCTTAATTCTACGACTACACTTGTTTCCTATTTATTAATGTACCTTAATTGATATTAAAAGCCAAACACTAAAAAGGTAATGCTCCTGGCATTTTCTAAAGTACATTCCGTACTTGTGCATTTTCATTTTATGATTTGTTGAGTTGGAATTCTTGTATTTCATTGATTAGAAGTGTTAAACTGAGATGAGAAGATCCATCACTTTCTACTGCCTTTTCTGCAGTTCTTTGGCTCTTTTTCTCCAATCATTTATTTCTTTCTCTTTGGCCGTCACTTTTTTGATAGCTTTAGTCACTTCTTCTTTGTTTACTTGGACTTCAGGATTCTCTTCCTCTCCCAGATGCATAACTCCTTGAGATCCAACACTCACACCCATCTTCAAGACATGTACTAAGTATCTCTCATTCAGAAACTGCTCGGAAAATAAAGGCCAAGTGATCACTGGTACACCAGCAGCAATCCCCTCAAGGGTCGAATTCCAACAACAATGAGTCAAGAATCCACCAATTGAAGGGTGTGATAGAATCAATACTTGTGGTGCCCAGCCTTGGATCAAAAGCCCTCTTTCTTTTGTTCTTTTTTCAAATCCATTTTTGGATATCCAGTCATCTATTGGTTCTTGTCCTTCTCCTGCTTTTATGACTAAAATGAATGGATAACCTGAGGCTTCCAGGCCTAAAGCTAGCTCCACAAATTGTACAACTGTAATACGACCGAGGCTTCCAAGACACGCATACACAACAGACTCTGGCGGCCAAGAATCAAGCCATTTTATCAAACTGTCCTCTTTGTGAAATGAGGCCTTATTCCCTCTCTGAGATTTGTCTAGATTGTCATTATTACAAAGAGACAAAGGTCCAATACACCAACAATGTATTGGAGGTCCAATTCCCTCTCTGAAGGTGTTGGTTTATGTTTAGTCAACAATAACATGCCAATTGGAAGAGTTGGTGGAAAGAGTTGGTGTGGATGCTAGGAGGAAGCTTCCTCCTTTGATGTCACCCATGACATCAAGAGGAGGTAGTTTTATGTCACCAATGACATCAAGAGGAGGTCTTTACCTCTATAAATAGATGCACTCCTTCATTTGTAGAAACCATCCCAAAAATAATACAACACATTGTAGTGAGTAGAGAGTTAAGAGAGAAATTCTCTTAAGTGTAANGTGCATCCACAGTTGAACAGGTTTAGCAGCTATGAGAAAAGTGGAGGAACCGTAGTAATGGGCAATAATGCAACTTGTGCAATAGTTGGCATTGGCTCAGTTCGGGTTCGCTGCCATGATGGAGTCGTGAGGACTATTACACAAGTCCGTCATGTTCCTGATCTGAAGAAGAATTTGATCTCCCTGAGTCCTCTGGATGAACAAGGTTACAGGTACATGAGCGAAGCGGGAACTATAAAGGTGACTAAAGGTTCTTTAGTCATGCTGAAAGGCAAGCTGGAGAATGGCCTTTNAACTGTTAGGCATACCCCACATCAGAATGGAGTTGCCGAGAGAATGAACAGAACTCTTCTTGAAAAGGCTCGTTGTATGCTCCTACAAGCCCAAATGTCCAAAGTATTTTAGGCTGAAGCAGTTCACGCTTCTGCTCATATTGTAAATCGATCTCCAGCATCGGCAATTGACTTTAAGACTCCGAATGAGGTATGGTCAGGTGAACCCTCTAACTATTCATACTTACGAGTATTTGGGTGTCCAGCTTATTATCACGTTAATGAAGGAAAGCTTGAACCAAGGGCTAAGAAGGCCATATTCGTAGGGTATGTGGATGGAGTAAAAGGGTACAAACTTTGGTGTTTGTCTTTACTCAAATTTATAGTTAGTAGAGATACACCTTTGATGAATCCTCTATACTTGATCCCCGTAAAGTTTTTGTGGAGTTTTTAGGAAACAAGAACGACGAGCAGGTGGAGCTTCCGGTGGAGCTTGCCAAGGAAAAGGATCAAGAGACTCAGGTTAAAGATGAGTCAGAAGATGTAGACCTTGAAGAACTTGCTGTCAATGAACCATAAACAATTGCAAAGGGGAGGGAGAAGAGGCATACACGAGAACTAGAACGCCTTATAGATTAAGAAAACTTGATTGCATATGCGTTTGTAGCTGCACAAGAAGAGATTAAGGATCTGGAGCCCTCCTTGTATATTGAAGAAACTTCTTGCAAGGATGATGTTCAATGGCGGTTAGCCATGACTGAAGAGATGAAGTCTCTTCACAAGAATCAGACATGGGTCTTAGTGAAAAGACAAAAAGGGAAGAGGACAGTTGGATGCAAGTGGGTCTACCAAAAGAAAGAGGGAATTCCTGAAGTGGAAGATGCTAGGTTCAAGGCGAGATTGATTGCAAAAGGATTCAATCAGAAGGAGGGAATTGACTACAATGAGATTTTCTCTCCAGTCGTAAAGCATAGCTCAATTCGCGTGCTACTAGCATTGGTTGCCCAATTTGACTTGGAGCTTCAACAGCTTGATGTCAAAACTGCTTTCTTACACGATGATCTAGAAGAGACAATCTATATGGATCAGCCTAAAGGTTTCCTAGTTGAGGGAAAAGAAGATCACGTATGCCAACTAAAGAAGTCTTTGTATGGTTTGAAGCAATCCCCTAGACAGTGGTACAAGAGGTTTGATGCATTCATGACTACACATGAATTCTCAAGGAGTGCATTTGATAGCTGTGTGTATCACAAGAAGATGTCTGGTAACTCAATGATTTATTTACTGTTGTATGTTGATGATATGCTTATTGCTGCTAACAACATTACAGAGATAAATGCTTTGAAGAAACTGTTGAGTAAGGAATTTGACATGAAGGATTTAGGAGCTGCAAAGAAAATCCTTGGTATGGAGATTTCAAGAGAAGACGGTGTTGTACATCTTTCTCAGAAGAGGTATATTGAAAGGGTTCTCAAGAGATTCAATATGCATACGTGCAAGCCTGTAAGTACACCATTAGCTCCTCATTTTAAACTTTCAGAGTTACAAATGCCTCAGTCCGAGGATGAGGTGGAGCATATGTCAAAGATTCCTTATGCCAGTGCAGTTGGTAGCATTATGTATGCTATGGTATGCATACGTCCAGATATTGCTCAATCTGTAAGTGTGGTAAGTAGATATATGTCCAGCCCAGGAAAGAGGCATTGGGAAGTTGTCAAGTGGATATTGAGATATCTCAAATGAGCTTCTGGTGTTGGTCTGACCTTTCAAAAAAGTGGTGGAGGTATTTTAATTCTCGGTTATGTAGATTCTGACTATGCAGGAGATCTTGACAGAAGAAGGTCCACAACGGGATACATCTTTACCCTCCTTGGCAATGTCGTTAGTTGGAAGTCGACTCTACAGTCGATTGCCGTTTTGTCTACGACAGAAGCAGAATACATGGCAGCAGCGGAGGCGGTGAAGGNATTAGGTGAAGGTGGTATGTTCAACAATGGTTTGATTCTTTTTGTTTCTTACAACGGGGTTGCCTAGTAAGCTTAGAAGTTTTGGTCAGAGTTGTTCATACGCACGCTCGAAACGCAAACCAAGGTGGAGATTGAAGGTGTTGGTTTATGTTTAGTCAACAATGGCATGCCAATTGGAAGAGTTGGTGTAGATGCTAGGAGGAAGCTTCCTCCTTTGATGTCACCCATGACATCAAGAGGAGGTAGTTTGATGTCACCAATGACATCAAGAGGAGGTCTTTACCTCTATAAATAGATGCACTCCTTCATTTGTAGAAACCATCCCAAAAATAATACAACACATTGTAGTGAGTAGAGAGTTAAGAGAGAAATTCTCTTAAGTGTAATTGGGAACTCTCCCCTTCCTTTGTTAATATTAAAAAGGCAACTGTTCTCTGGTGGACGTAGGATTATTTTGATCCGAACCACGTTAAATCTTGTGTTCTTTCTTTTACGTTTCCGCTAACAGCTTCCAAGACACGCATACACAACAGACTCTGGCGTCCAAGAATCAAGCCATTTTATCAAACTGTCCTCTTTGTGAAATGAGGCCTTATTCCCTCTCTGAGATTTGTCTAGATTGTCATTATTACAAAGAGACAAAGGTCCAATACACCAAACTCTACCATCTTTAAGCCTTCGGATTTTATCAACATACCTTTGTTCCAACTCCTCGAAAGTATTGATCACAACCCCATAAGCTCTTTCCTCAGTTGTTCGTATCTTGTTACGAATATCTTGTATGCAAAGTGTTCCTGGATTGAATGCTCCAGGCAGCTAAGCTTTAGTTACTTCAATTCTATATGGCAAATCAGGTATGACAAAAACCCATGATTCAGGAATTTTGTTTTGATCCTTCATGATGTACAAATTATGCATACATAATTGAGTGAAGCAACTCATTCCATCAAAAATGATTCTTGGAATCTGAAACTTATCAGCTGTCTCAGCTATCCAAGCAATATGCGTATCACAAATAATGCAACTTGGCTTAGGCTTTATCTCTTCAAGCAATTTTTCAGCTTGGTCTTGTAGTATATCAATTGCAGCAAAGAGATTTCTTTGAAAGGCTAGAGCAGGCAGAACATCGGCGCTTTCACATCCCTCTGGCAATCCCGCTTCCTTGGCTGGAAACTGGAGTTCAAGTACCCGAATGAGGAGTCCAGAACCAATGGCACGATCAATTACTGCAGTAAATCAGATATCATTAAGAGGTGTCATGACTAAAGTAACTGTCACGCCTCTCTCGCTTACATCTGCATTAAAGTAATCTGCACTAAATTAATATGCATAGTCTTCAACTACACTTTGCATGTTTTAGCAGTCCATTACGATACTTTGAGCAACTATTCAAGTTATCCAAAGATCGATTCTGACCATATGCAACTCGACATTTCATGTGATCATAAGTCAGCTAGCTATGTCATAGTCTTTCTTTTATGTGTACATAATAGCTAATCGATTGTCTATATTATGCTCCAAAAGTCCAAAACTAATAGGTCATTCAATCGCCCAATAAAGGCCTAATTATGTTTAAATCAAACATAACATTGTCTCTACATTAAAGACCCATACTTTGATCTATGAGTAGTATTGTTTAAAATACAAAAAGTAAATACGCTAAGAGCTTTTGAGTTGTGTCAAATGAATTCAACATCTATTGTATTATATATGCATAAAAAATATTTTTGACTTTTTATATATATTTTAATTTTGTAGCAAAGGGAATTCAGACGAACCATTGCGCCGCCCTAGCTCTGCCCCAGTGCCCCTGAATTGGAATTTCATCGTCTTTATTGTATTATTATTCCACACTATTTATCTCATTGGTCCTTTAATTCGTTACATGATCAATAGGGTCTTTGGCAATTATGCTGGTCTTTGTAACTCTTTAATCGAACATCACTACACTGATTTTCAAATAAGGGTTTGCATTTACTTTTAAGTGACTGCCAATATTAAGTCTGTAGAGGTAGATTTGGCACTCGACAGGACGTGCAGGGGTACTCATTGTTTCTGGATTTTTCAATTCGAAATTTTCATATCTCACTAAAAAAAAGCCTCACAGTATAGATGTTTCAATGCATCAAACATCTATCAATTTATTTGATTTTTACTAAACATAGATTATTGCATATGGAGAGTTTTCTCTCTATCTCTATGAATTTGAATTTAGTGTGACTAAAAAAAATCAAACCAAAAAGTAGATTTTATTTGTTTCATTTGATTTATATATTTAGCAAAAGAATTTTTACATTTTTATACACTATATGAAACTATATTATCCTCCCTACTCAAGTTTTACTATAATTACATTTTATATACCCAATTATCATTTATGTACATTTTAAGGGAATTAATGTATTAATTACTGTCCTAAAACAACTCTACCATATATTTCCACTCCCCCCCCCCAACGTTTCTCTCTCTACATCCCACCCCTTCACCGACGTATCCTGCACTCACCCACGATTTTCTCTTTATAAATCCCAGAAATCCTCCATTAACGCCTATTTCATCTCTTCTTCAAAAATCAGACGAAATTAGACTTTTATTCAAAATTCCTACCTCCATTAAAGTCTTTGATTAGCTTGATTTTCAATGAAGAAGAAGATATCTTCAAAGAACAGTCCTACAAAAGACAAAGGAGCATATATTCCTTCATTTGATTTGGGTGTTTTCTCAGCAAATTCACCCAAAAAGGCTTCAAAATCAGCTCATGCAAAAGAAGCGAACAAGCCCAAGCTTTCCCCTCGTGAAGCTAGGGCAGAAACTCAAACAAAGCAAAAGCATGATATTGATGCTGGTGAATCTTCGATACCTGTCAAATTTGCGAAAAGGAAAGGAAAAGAGATCATCATCATCGAAGAAAAAGCTGCCATTAAAGTTGCAAAAAGTTAGAGTGTCTCCTAACGTAAAAGCTTAAAAAAAGAAGAAAGTTCAAAAATCTATTAAAACTGTTCCAACAGTCATTGGTGAAGGTAAGAATTTATTAGTTTCAAAAATAAATTTTGGTAAAAGTTAAAAAAATTGTTCTCATTCTTATCAACCTATATAATGTTTGATTTTGTAGTTTGTAGAAATTTTGTCTACATTGTGTAGATTTATTATAGATTTATAATTTATGATTGTAGATACATTTTTATATAAATGTTTGCTTTGTTCTGACTCTGTTTAAAGATTGTAGAAATTTGGTAATAAAATTATATTTATGTTGTTATCTGTTTTTGACTCTGTTATGTAATTGTATAGGAATATTGTATTAAATGTAGATAGTTTGCTTTTTAGGTTTGAGCCTTGTTTTACTAAGAAATTTTTCCTTTTGATGCAGAATGAACCTTTTTTTGCACCTCATAATGTTGATTATGGGGTCGTTAGGTTTCAGACATTATCCGACCCCAGTATTCCTGGCCAAATCAAAGATTTATTGTCTGCAAATGGTTTAAAACTTTTTTAGAAGACTTGTTTTGGTTATTTGCTTTCATTTCCCGGAATATATATGCAAAATCAAGCAATTCATCTTCTAATAAAGTATGAATTGAATGCATCTGGTTCTGACTATTTTTCAGCAGAGATAAAGGGTCAGAGGTTGAATTTTGGCTTGAGAAAGTTTGCATTAGTAACTGGTCTAAAATATTTTACGGAAGTGACAGACTTTGGTTTCACACTTACATATGACAGTAAAATAATGAGAAGCTATTTTCCAAACAAGGAAAAAGTTGAGAAGTCATACTTAAAACAAATTGTAACCACCAAAAGTTGGTTGAACGACGATGATGCAGTCAAGTTCTGTATTTTATATCTCACAGAATTCTTCCTCTGTCCTTCAGACAAAGACAATGGAGGGTTGGTAGACCATTTTAGGTTTTATTTGGTGGACACGAGACATTTGCGAACTACGCATGGGGTATTGATTCTTACAAACAGTTGCTTCAGTCTGTTAGACACAAGCTCAATCCTTCTATTCATTCTTATCTCATTCGAGGATTTGCACTAGTTATGCAAATATGGTTGTATGAATGTTGATCTACCGTCAACACTGATATAGCTACAAGGGTTGCTAATTCTATCCATCACATACTTAGCTGGTCAGCTAGTAAGGATAAGATATGGTTATTTGCAATTGAAGATAGAATGATCAAACCAGCATGGATCAAGGTAAATGGTTTTTATTTATGAGCAGACAATTTAATACAAATTATCTACAACATTTATATATATTATGTCTAAGTCAAACTAATTTTCTTTTTTCAGTCAGTTCACCAACATAATTGAAGCACTAGAAGAGCTTTCTAGAATGTCTTTGTCTGATAAAGTTGAATACATACTTGAAGAAGTTGAAACCAAGTCCGAGGCTCCGAAAGATGATGCATCTCCATCGGGACACACGAAGTCAATTGGAATAGAAGACAAGATAGATATTCTGAAAGAAATTAAAAATTTAAGAAAAGATGTTGACAAGGTAACATATATACATAATCTTGGATGGTTTCTTTAATTTCTGTTAAGCCAATGTTTTCGTTAACTCTCTATATTTTAGTATGTAGGTTGCTTTAGATCTTGAATCTTTAAAGATAGATGTTTTTGAAGAACTAGGTAGCTTTTGACTGCTACTCAATGACTCAATCAAGGCTGCTTTGCAGGAGATAAACAATCAAAAGGATAACATTGATGACAAGGTAATATTTGAAATATATTCATTTAACAGAACAATTTATATCACTCTAAATTTATATTATTGTCCATAAAGTATATATCCTAACAAATTTAAAGCATGCAGTTTGCTGGGAGTTCTACAAAAATTGCTGAGCAATCAAAAGAAAGAACAATCAACATTTTCCGTGCAGTAGTGATAAACCAGTACATGCCAGCAGCAGTAAAAAAAAGTATGTACAACATATCTACATTATATACAATATATCTACATTATATCTACAATATGTCTAGACATATCTCATTATGCCTACAGTATATCTACACAGATTTACATATATATGTAGATGTCTACAATATACCTACATATTGCCTACAATTGTATCAACTAATGTATATTATGATTCAAACGAGTTTTTTAGATACAGGACAAGTGAATGACATGGAAATTAATGAGAATGTTCCTGTACGTGTTGCTTTATATTAGGGCTGTCAAATTTGGCCCAAGCCCAAATGACCCGCCCAAGGTTGGGTTGGTTATTAACCCGCCCATTTATTGAACTTAGCCCATCTTGACCCAACCCATTTCAACTTTTTTAAAGTTGGGCTAATTTTTAGCCCTTGATCTATGAGTAAGTTTGTCAAAATATCTTAGAAATAATTTTATTTTTTGTTTAATATTTTAAATATGACCATAACAAAAGCAAAAAAGCCTTATTTAGTAATTATATAATTTATAAGAAAATAACACATATTAATTAAAGTTTAATAAGAGTTGAGCGGGTTGGGTTATGACCCGAATTTTAACCCATCTTGACCCAACCCATCTTAGCCCAAGTAACTTTTGGGCGGGTCATTCGACCCGCCTAATTATTGACTTAACCCATTTTGACCCACTCAAAATTGACCCACTCAAAATTGACCCAATAAGCTCATTTGACACTCATACTTTATATTCTCATTTTGAAGGGGCAATTGATGAAGAGAATGCAGGTATGAGTTAGTACATGTTATCATCACAGGAACATTCTAAACTTAGCTGTTATTATACGCATGACATCATTTCAACAAAATTACTACATTTAAACTACAATTTGTATTCTGAAATATTAGTGTTTAGTATAAATTTTCTACAAAATGATTAATTTAAAAATACTTACTGTAACAGTGAAGGAAGTTATGCCTGTGGAATATCCAATACATAAAGATACAATAAGCATTCTAGGAGAACAGAAGAATGAGGAAAAGAGAAAAAAAATTCAATCTCCCATTGAAGAAGAGAATGTTATAAAAGAAGGAGATGATTGTTGTGAAGAAGGAGGTGAACCAACCGAGTACATTAATGTAGGTGATTTGGACGACTCCAAATATGATAAAAGGAAAGTAACACTTGATGATTTTGAGTTGCTAGAGTCTTCTCCTAGATTGTTAAGTTCGGCGAGCTTAACCAAGATGAACAACCCCTGTGCATCAAGGAAGAACAAGGCATCTTGGAAAGCATGCCCGATCACCCTTTCTCCCTTTTTACAGTTCTGATGGCAGCACTTCTGTTGGACCTCCAATTTTTCAAATCAAGCATCCGTTTACTAGGATTATCGGTCAAAATGTTGATCCTGAGTTATTGGACGAACTCAACAACTGGTTATACCTTGGTACCAATACAGCTCCAAAGAGGTTAGTTTATACAATTTGTTCATATTTCTAAGTGCATTCATATTTTGGATATCCACTTCAATCTACATATTTATTGTAATTGCTATGTGTTTAAATAGGAGGAAGGCGTCTTATTCTACAAAAGATAACCAGCTTAAGCCGTGGTATAATCTTGGAGTGGAGAAAGTTGATAAAAAGGAGTGATTTTATACTTTAGCACATTCCGGATAAGTCCTCAACAATACGGTAAACACATACCCTGGCAGAATAAAATAATTAGCTGGGGTATTCTATTATTGGAGGATATTGTAGGATACAAGCTACTTGCAAATGTTGCATGGGATCAAGTTAATTTTGTGATTATGCCCATAAATATTGTAAAAAAAAATTATTGGTTGTTGGCTATTTTTGACATTACCGAAAGGGTTCTATATGTTTATGATTCTATGGTCTCTTCACACAATTACATCATTGTTGAATCT